TTCAAATCTCTAGGTCTTATACATTAGGAACTTTGTCAAAATTCTTAGCATGCATGCATGTGTGTGTTTGCCAACTCTGGATCAATGCACTTTTAAAATAACTTTTCGTTAAATATTTTCCAGATAGCCAATCTATGTGTGGGCACCCACGCATGTGCCCACCCATTCAGCCAACTTTTTCATGACTAAGACAGTTTTGCTAATACAGGTTTCATGAAGGAGGCATCCTTCTCATACTTAGTAGAACAAAGCCACACCACAGAGTTCATTTGGTGAAGTACAAGTTGATGATACAAAGTTGAAGTGTAGTTCTGTTTAGTTCTGACAATGCATAAGCATCACAGACACCTTGCTCAGACTAAATAGCTCTTAGCTGTGACAGAGCTTGAAATATAAGTTGTCTGGGAAATCAATGTAAGCTACCCTATCCAAAAAGAAGCACATATATCTCAGGAGCAAGGATTTAGCTGGCACTGGTCCATGCTTTACATTGTTTTATGCAAAATGTCTGTATCACCTGAAATGGAACAATAAAGTTGCTAGAATGTGGTCCCTACGGATCAGTTTATTTATTTGATGTATGCTCCTACTCGGGCAAACACTTGAGGAGGTTGACAAATTACAAAAGAAACCAGAACCCAAAAAGGCAAAATGTACATTACAGCCCATGCTAAGCATTAATTAACAATTAAAAACCTGGCAAAAAAGATGCATTTTTACAGGATTGAAAATGCTGAGACAGTGAGGAATAAACACAACTTCAGACAGATTGCATTTTTTTAGAATGAGAGTCATCCCATACACTGAAACATATATCCTTTTATGTTTGGCAGATCTTGCTCTCAGTATACCAACATGGGCAATTCATATTGTCCATGTTTCATATTATGAACTAAAATAAACTTTATGTTAAGTAATATGAATAAAGCTCCAATTTCTACCAAAGCTTTTAGAAGTAAAATAATCATCCTACTGTATATACTTTGAGGAAGATCTATGATCCTATTATAAAATATGACCTAAAGTCATAATATAGGATGAGTAAACCTGAATAAATATTTAAATTATTTACTGATATTACTTAGCTGTCATTGATTGTGGAATATAGGCTTTTCTATTAACGCCCCCCCCCCGTAATGCACACTATATTACTTTTACAAATCTATAATTTAGAACTAATCCTATTAGAATAATTTATTTCAGTAATACAAAAATAGCATAGTAGAACACAAACAGCAGGCTCTCCACCTATAGAACAGTTTGTAGTTACAATTGCATAGCATGGAAAGAACTGCAGTGAGACAGTTTGAGCTATAAATCCTTCTAAATGGAAATCTTCCAAAAAAAAAAAAAAAGTGGCTATGTTCTACTTGATATTCTTAGGGCAAAATAGGAGACAAATTTAATTGGTGCTTATTTTAAAATCCATTCACACACACAACCAAGTATGATGAAACACAGAGTCCTGAAGTAATGTGCTTTGGTGATAGGGAATAATACTAAAAGAAGGGCTTGGGTACGTGGCACATCTGCCTTCTTTAAGGGTTTATTTTGAACTCATGAACAGAGTTCTGCCATGTTTTGAAAGTCATATAGCAATACCTTTAGTCCTTTATCAATCAGAAATAACTGGATAGTAAGTTATGCCAGCTCTTACAGAAAACTGATCTGCTGATCTAGCAATAATGACACTTTTAAGAATCACTAGAAAAGCTAAGAGCCAGTTTGGCGTAGTGGTTAAGGCATCTGGCCAGAAACCAGGAGACCATGAGTTCTAGTCCCGCCTTAGGCACAAAGCCTCCTGGGCTTGGGCCAGTCACTCTCTCTCAGCCCTAGGAAGGAGGCAATGGCAAACCACTTCCGAAATCTTGTCAAGAAAACTGCTGAGACTTGTTCAGGCAGTTGACAGTAGTCAACACTGACTCGAAGGCAACCAACCACAGAAGTTGTGTGTGTTCTGGAGGACTGTGCATTTGACCTATGTAGTGTGAATAGCTGCAGTCTGTTCCAAGAGCTCCCAGTTCCCATTATAGGGGGATGGATATTGCTATCTGTTGAGGAAGCAGAGACTATTGAAAAGACTGTATAAGACTGCATATTACTGGAGGAACTGGAAATATTTAGACTTGAGAAAAGAAGTCTGATAAGATAGCATTCTTGAAACACCTGAAAGCATGTTGCACAGGGGAAAGTACACTGCACAGGACAGGACATGGAATAAATGATTTTAGGTTCCAGTTGAATATTAGGAAGAAAACTCCTAACAGTAATAGCTCCTTGAACCAATTCAGAGTGTTACTGAACTCTCCTTCATGGGCATATTCAAGCAGAGGTTGGAAGCCATATACTGTCAGTGTTTTAATTTGGATTTAATTTCCATGATTAAGATAGACTTAAGTGATCATTGCACTATGATCTACCATGCATTGAACAGATCAGGGAGGCTCACTGGATTTAGGATGTAGATGCACCTACAATAGGATATATGCTATATCAGTGTAAGCAGGCACTTAGGGGGCCAATATGACTGGTAGGAACCAGAATTACAAAATGCTAACCAGGTCTCCTTTAGACCAGAATATACATCTTACTACTTGGCTGATATCAGAGGCACAACTATGCTTGGGTCAAAGTTCTTTCTGGCTCTAATTTCTGAAAACATCAAGTTAACCTTCTAAGGAAAATATAAAAGAACTCAAAGTGAAAGGCTGAATGCTTACATCCATACCTACTTCTTGCAATACACTCTGGTCAGATGTGACTGACCAAATCATTGTTCCCTGAGAAAATTACTCCCTCCCCTTCATAAGTTGGCACAATTGTGGATGACCCATTCAGTCTTGCAGAGGTCATATTTGAAGTACTGCCAGTCACGGCAGGAAAAATGAAAATGCCTAAAGAAATTCAGTTGGTTGTGGCCCTTCTATGTTTTGGTCTCTGTTTGGAAGCAGGGAGAAGGGACTGAAGTTCGTTTAAACCACTCAATTCTGTTTGTACAACATAAGTGACAGGTTTATCCCAAACAGCCGGGGTTTGACACTAACTCTGGAAACTCTTGGGACTTTAACTTCCCCTTGACATCCTAGCCCACTCTTTACCAAACAAATAGAGCAACAAAGTATGTCTTTCTGCTTGCAAAAAATGGAAAATAGTGTGGCTATGTTTGAAATTGTTTTACCACTATCTTAACTGTACATGCTTTTAATGAAATGTTGGGAATTTTATTCAGTCATTTAGTTTACTAAATCTACCAATTTTTAGAGCTTAATTGAAGAGTTATTTATCTGGTGATCTATCTCCCACTGAAACGAGTGGGACTTTATGATGATTTGGCTAGATGCTGGCTTTGTTAATTTTATCCTCCCAACCACCCTTCATGTGTTAATACTGTAAATGCTAAAACGTTAAAACTACATTACAAAAATACTATTATTCTGAAATTTGGAGGAGAAATTTCCCTTACTTCTCACATACTGGGACTTTTCAAATGGCAATCATATATATCTCCCCTGTAAATAAATGAAATGAATTTTCAACCATGAAAATAGAGCTTTACTATGGAAATGGGGACAGGCAGGGTAAAGGGTTCAGGTGCCACTATAATCGGTACTATAAACATGCTTTAAATTTGTGGCACAGAGGACATGCTTTTCATAATACAGCAATTTTATAGTTTTATTGGACAGACAAGCGATAAAGGAATATTCAGAAATGGCAGTTTGAAATGAATGAAAGTGGGGAAAAAACCACACACACCACCAAATCACGTTACTTATATAAAATACTACTGCAATAGTTCTTTTATTAATTTTTAATGCTCAGCACCCTTGGTGACCTCTTTTATTCTTTTGCTGTCAACATGGCAGCCTGGAAAAAATTGAAATGGGATAATAAAGCGTAGGAAGTACTTAAACCCCAAGAGTATGCAAGTGCATTCCCTCTGCCTTCCCTGTCAGTCTTTTTGTATCTCTGCCCGCCTCCACCCCCCATCCCTAACACCCCACAGGCATGGAAGAGGAACTGGTTTAAGTAACCCATGTCTTTCTTTATATACTTAAAGTATTTATTTTAAATGCTTCTTTTAAAATAGGAAGTGTTTATCTGAATAATAGAACTGCATGAAAGAAGGCTGTTTTCTTTTGTCTGTCTGGCTTCCACCACATATATTTGGCCTGATTCAGCTGCATTTTGCTCAAACAGTGGGATACCATTATGCTATGAATATTTACCACTGTTTATATCTCCAAGGAGACTAATCTCCATACCACTACAGTCCAGAAGCTCCCGGCATTGTCTCTGCAGGCCCAGGTTCATGGTGTCACAGCAACTGAGGCCATGGGGTCAAACAGATTAATCCATCAGTGAAAATAAAGCTCTGCACTATTGTCCACCAACTTTTACCCCCTCCCCCACCAGAGGACCTAAAATAACATTCTACGCTAGAATCCACGGTATGGAGTGCTGGGTGTACGGTATGTACCACAAAGGGATAAACATGAGGAAATATTAGATCAGTGAAGTTTGGGGAATATAGCAGAGGAAATGTGTTTATGGAAATGTGTTACGAAGGCAGGTTACGGCAGGGAGGGGGACATGGAGTGCAGTACACTTAAAAACCCCACACAACTACACGTTTGGGAATGTTTATATTTTTCTTCTTCCAATGCCCTTTGATTAGCCTCTGTCTCACATGTGCCCTGACAACTGTGACAGAATGAAAAATCCCAGGAAAAATGTGGGTCGTAAGAGAAGAGAGACTTCCCCCGTTCCTCAAGGGTGACCCCATCACTGCATTTTGCTACAGTGTTTCACCATTAAGGAAAGGGCAGCCCATGACTGTTCACAGTCACTCTGTTCCATCGGTCATGACTGTTAGGAAACACCGACCGGCAACTAACTTAAGAATACAACAGACACAATATTCTAGTCACGTTAAAAGTATCTCTTGGTGATTCCAGGCCTCAAAGAAGGCATTTTTAATAAGAAAGAGCAATGCCTACCTGATACTCCACCATATGTGGTCTTTTTCCTGAGCCCTACAGCAGGCCAAGGCGTGCCATCTGCTTTCAGTCCCATCAACCCCGACACGGTATTGGTGGCTGTAACACCATCTGCACCACCTACCACAAATTTAGTGATAGCTTAATAAGCATGTTAACACAGCAAGTTACGGAAATTGTTACATGGTAGTACTAATTAGATGATGAAGCTTTCTAGCTATTAAAACATGTCAGGTCCACAATTCATCATCATAGCATTAATATTATTTTCAACATTCGCAGAGAGAATTTAAAATAGCACATTATGTACAATGTCAATCCTGATGTACATTGTTCACAGGGCCTGGATTAGCTGTTAAGTGCATGTACACCCTCATCATCACATGTCCCACTCAAAGATAACTATCAGGAGCCCTGAATATGTTTCATCACCACTCCTCTCTCTGGGTCGCCTGCCCACATACTGTGGCCCAAAAAGAGAAAATAGCAAGCTTGAAAGTAGCAAGGAGGAACAAGGCCAGACCACTTATTTGCTTGGCAATACTCTTTGGGACAAGTAATAGTAAGTAAGGAATAACAGCAACTGACCACATGGCAAATACAAAGAAGGTGACCTCAGTGAGAAAGAGAACTCACCGAGAGCTTCTGGAGAACCTCCCAAAAAGCTTCCAAACCTTTTTCAGTGCTGAAAGGAAGCAAGGATGAACAAGGCCAGACCACTTATTTGCTTGGCAATACTCTAATAATTAGCAGGTGAAAGTCCAGAAAATGTATGACTCAAGTTGTAGTTTCACTTGTGTTGTTCCACATTAATTTTTGTGCTCAGAAAATGGGGAGAAAAGAAAAAAAAATGGTAAATCTTATTATGTTCCCTATTTCTCAGAATTTTGGAATCCATCAAGTTGCAAATTTAAAAACAACAACAGTGAAATGGGGATATATCTGAATTTGTTACCTTCTTGAGAAGCCCTTGCAATGTTCACAATGTTTGTGACATTTGGAGTCAGCTTGGCAAAGAAAGGAATCTGAACAGCTTGTCTCACCCAACGACAGATGTTGCGCACCAGCTCTGGATCCTGTTCAAATAGGTCAGATGAATACAGTGCATAATTAAAAGTAATGTGATCAAAACTTTCCAACAGTCTGCTTTCCTGTAGTTTTCAGAAATTATATTTCAATACTCTGCTTTGCCTCATTAATTTAGCTATGTCAACATTCTAAGTAGTATGGAAAAACTATACTAAAATAGATTAGATATCTAAAGCATAGTAAAACTGTAAAGGGTGGCTGTGTCATGTAGAATTAGGCAGTCTCCAGTTTGGAATCTTAAAAAAAAATGTGAATCAGCAGAAGAAAACCATTGTAAGAGATTAGACTTTTCTTAGAGAAATATATTTCAAAAATGTAAATACCGCCCCCCTGAAGAACAATTGACCCGTTTTTAGATAAACAAGAACCATATGTACTTTGAAATTGAAACAGACTGCCATTTACAAGTACATACCTTCACCTGTTAGCCTTTCCCAACACTATTTTACAAGCATGGTGGAAGGGAGGAAGGAGAAAGCGGAAGCAAAACATGTATCAATTAAAAGAGACAAGAAAAACGTGGAGAGAAGAACCCTGCCTCACCAGTAGCCATCTCTACAATCTAAAATAACTGTTCTGAGCACATTGAGATCAACTACAAATGCCATGATTCCCGATGAAAACTGCCAAAATTCAGTAGGTACAGTTCAATGGGTAGCATACCAATCATGGATGCACTGAAACACTTGGTACCTGGACCTGATCTTGGATATAGATTTTATTTTGTCAAAATGTTGAAATAAGAACTTTATTAATTTAACTGTATTCACTTATTTTTACTTACATTTTTGTTGCTTTACATAAAGGAATTGCAATGAATTACATATATAGTCTCTGAAGGTGGTACCTCCTGGATAGCCTTGTTGGCTGGACTTGGTTAATATTTGGATAGGACAGCTCCAGGACATACCAGGGTTGTAGGCTAATTTTGAGCAATGTTAAATTATTTTTCTTCCTTGTTATTTATTTTGTAACATATATGTAATTTCTAAATTGATCTAACTAGGGAATGCTATTGTATACCTTAGTGCAGAACTTTGTTATCAGCTTGGCATCAGCACCTTGATCCCTGATCTCTTCTAGGGCATTCACATCAACTGTGATTAGCTATCAATTGCCATTTAAGATTTTCCCCAATGATATGTTTTGTGGCAGTGCAGAAATTAAGTTCACAATGATGGTGGTTCCACCAAAATGGAAATGATCCCTGAAGGACATCTTGCCTGAGATCCCCTCAATCCCTTAGCTAGCTTTGTTTATTACAGAACCTGTCTAGCATAAGACAGTCAATTGTGTAATTAAAAAGCAAAACAAAACAAAAAAACTGATCCATGAATCACTCTATAGAAGATTCAAAAAATGCCCATCCCTGATGTAAATCGGAAGTTCTGATATATACATTAACCTTTTCCTAAATTAGCTGGCAGGGTGATATTTAACTATTCTTCCACCCACCTGTCCACCAAATAACCTCCCAGCAATTATTTTGACAGGGTCAAAGCTTTTCTGAATACTCATCTCCTTTGATGAAAAGTTCAGGATGACAAACAGCTAAATGGGAAAGAAAGAGATCAACTTATACTCTTTAAAGACAGAAATAGAAATCTTGAAGCACTTCCTTCCTTCATGGGACAGCCTTCAGAGGATAATCAGCTGCCTCTTCAGTTGATAATGGCTCTGTAGTAGTAATGCTTTTTAATTACATAAATTTTACTTTATGTTATAATTTGGTAATGAGGCTTTCTCTTTTATGACAACTACTGATAAACTATGTTAAAATCTTCAAAATCTATTTTATAACATGATCTTAATAAATGAAAAAGGTCTCAGAAATCCCAAAATGAAAGAGAAAGGTTTCCCCACCAAACTGAACTATAAAGCAAAGGCAGGATGGCAACAGAAAGTAAAAACAAGGCGTTGGCAGTTTGAACATATCTGGGGGAAAGGATGGATTATGGAATCCTTGGTGCTCTCTGAGCTCAGAGAGCACCAAGGACTCCACAGTTCAACCCTGAGCTACATACTGTATGTTCTCTTCTATAGGATGGTTTATGTTGAGATATCCAAATTCTATGAAGCCCCCAACAATGTTAATAAATCCCAAACAAGTGCAGTCTAAACATCTCCTTCTCCAGAATACAGGTTCTAGGCTTGAGAGTTGGGCCACTAGTCTGTAAACCTGCCAGTATACTTCTGAGAGAAATCTTAGATGTCTTTTCTAGATGCCCGGCTGACTCCTACAGGTGCAAAACTATTTTGCTTTTATTGCTAGCCAACAATGTAGTAAGAAAAGTGAGTTCTATTTTTCGGTGAGCAAGTGCTGCCTTACCACTACACTTTTTATTTTTCTCTCACACATGCACAGCCTGATATGAAAAGGAAAAATTTATAGAAAAGATGGCAACTGTCCAATTCCCCATCCCTTGACACTTCTCTTTTTAGAAATTAAACACTCTCTCAAATTCCTTTTCAATTTTGCTACACAATTAAAAACAGTATTAGAGGTTTTGGTTCTGGAGGAGAAGAAAGTTTAAAAGGTACAAAAAGTACATCTCCACCAGTAAAAATGTCAATATGTATTCTAATATTTCTAATATGGTTGTGGAAATATTCAGACTGATCTGACTGTTTGGTTTGAATGGTCAAATGGAATGGATTTTCTGAATGAATTCAAATCATAACATTGAAGCAGATTATTTTCCAATTTATATCAGCTTTTGCCTGATTTACACAGGCCTAATTTGACACATTCACATATATTTGGTGCGAATGTGTACAGTTTCAGAAATTTTGAATTAAGATTACAGACACATGCAACAAAATTATAAGTTACAGAATTCTGTGTAAGAACTGAAATAATATTATTTGATGTGTTAAAGACAACTTGACGGAAAAATGAAATAGAATTGTTAGATATATATATATATAGTATGTAAGTTATTTGCAAAATCAGTCTTCTTTATCCATTTTTAGGCGCTGAAGAATAAAAATGTAGAATGGACAAGATTATAAGCATTTGTGTAAGGGAGGAAAATAACACAATAATACCTTTTCTTCAAGAAACTAGACCCATCAGTTTGGGCAGTACTACAGGTCACGTGATTTGACATTAATTGTTGTATAAAATTGTGAGGAAGCATTTCCCCCCTTTAAACATGTTGTCTTTGTTTAACCTGCTAAGGTGGTATTGGTAATGACCACTCATTCAGTGACCATTCAAAGTTGCAACGGTGCTGAACAAGTGGTTTTGATGAACTAGTCCTCGAAGTTCTGGCCATCGCAGCACCCTAGGGTCATATGATTGTGATCTGGGCGCTTGGCAACTGGCTCACACTTATGATGGCTGCAGCATCCCACAGTCACATAATCACCATTTGCAACCTTCCCTCCTGGCTTCCCACAAGCAAAGTCAATGGGGAAACCGGCAGGGAAGGTTGCAAGTTGCTCCTGCTGCTTTTTCTCCCAAGGAGCCCTGCTATGAAATAAGAGATCCCAGGGAACTCATACTCTGTATCACGCTCTTGGGCCGCAGCATCCTGTCCCCTGCCCACATGCACTCGCATGGTGCAGCAGCACCCCCTCCCCAGCCCGCATGCACTCACCGCAGCACCCCCCCCACTTCAGTCCATAGTTCTCACCCATCCTCCTCCCTGCCTGTGAGCCGCCTGGAACTTGCAACTTCCTGCCAGCTTCCCCATTGACTTTGCTTATGGGAAGCCAGCAGGAAGTCTCAAGTCATGGTCATGTGAGGTCCTCGCTTAATGACGTGTGATCCTTGCTTAACAACAGCAATGGGCACTGCTGGGATTGCCGTTGCTAAGCAATGTGGTCACGTGACATTGTACTTTACAACCGCATTGCTTAATGATGGAAATTCTGGTCCAATTACCATTGTTAAGTGGATACAGTTTGTGTCATAAAAATCTTATTTAAGGTATGAATTACCATTCTGATTCTTCTTCCCCACCCATTCTCTGTCTATGCCTCCACAGAAAAATAAAATGAAGCCATCGCTGTTTGCCCTCTTGTCACTGTAGCTGAAAAGGAGAAAAATAATTGTGAACAAAGAATAAAAGAAGAGGAAGCAGTAGCAGCCTGGATGGCCTGAACCAAATTATAGCACTTGCCAGCTGATTAGTAAATGGGTGTCTAAAGTCCCTGATTGGTGTGTCAATTCCATAAGCATTTATTGCCCAGTTATCTTAGACTTTTCTTCCTTTCTCCAGTTTTGCCCATGTCTGATTAGCAGGTAGGGATTGCTTATTTTCATGAAAAACCTCCTCTACTTTTAAGGGGGGGAAAAGGCCCTGTGAGTCTTTGTAGAGTGGGCCCTGCTTATTATGTCCCAAGTTGGAATTGACTCCTGATGATTGCCAGGGCAAGTCCTGCAGTTTTCTTGGCAAGAAGTGGCTTGCCATTGCCTCCTTCCTAGGGTGAGTGACTGGCCCAAGGTCACCCAGCTGACTTCTTGCCTAAGGTGGGACTAGAACTCATAGTCTCCTGGTTTCTAGCCTCATGCCTTAACCACTACTCCAGACTGGCTGATCTCAAACATGAGGCAATTACTGCACCCTCCAACTGGCCAATAGTAGTCAGGAAGGCATTTAACTATAACCTGCCCTTATTTATGGCATATGTGCATAAAGCATCTGAGAGTTTGCAATCAGGATTAACTGTCAGGTCACCAAGGTGACACACCACTATATACCATTCTTCTGGCTCACTTTTTTTTAAAACAGTAGAAAGGAAGACTGAAGCTACAATGACCTGATCTCTGCAGGAAGAGGGGAAAATCCAGGAGCTGTGTGTCAGCCTTTCAAAGTAGGCCATCTCAGGAAACGAACTCCACAAGAATGAGTGGAACCCTATTTTATAGATTCCAGTAATAGAACCTTGAAGCCTGACAACATTTTCCTTCCCTTTTTCTTATATTCAGGAGAGTTAAGGCAGAGCTAGTCTGAGCTTCTTTGTCATGTTTTTTTTTTTCCTGTTCTTGTCATGTTTTTCTAACTGCCATTGCAGTTTCTCCAAGTTCATCTCTGTGGCTCTCTGCACTGGGAGGCAGGATTACTGGTTGAGGCAAGGTATCCCACTAATGGGAAATTGGTTCACCCTCAAACTTCAGAGTACTGTATCACTTCCACTGGAAAAATGCATTCAGCTTGTTTCCTGGCTGAACCACTGCTGAACAGGAAATGTTGGCTCAGCTGATGAACAGACAGTTATTATGTGATCATGTAGGCAGAGAGTTGATTAGAAGTATCGCAAATACAGCATGAGAAAGTGTCCCAAGCAAGGTGGAAGATAAAAAGAGGTCTGTCTAGAAATATTTGTGTTAGTTCATCTCTTTCTTACCATTCTTTATACCTTCCATGTTTTTACAGCCACTAATTAAGTATCTCAAAAGGAAAAGATCTCTACTTAAAAACTTAGCAACTTGGCACACCTCACTTGAATAAGTTAATGAATTTATTTCCTGTTTATCACATTTTGTCCTAGTTAAGATTTCAGTAGGAAGGAGCTGTAGTGTCACAGAAGCAGGACAGTGCACTAAATTCAGTAGAGGACTGGAGAACCCAAGATTAAATTTCTCATCTACCATGAGACTTTCAGGTTAACTTATCATATACTCTTTCTCACAAGATGATTATGAGGGCAAAATAAGAATTGCAGGAATAGTGGAATAGTAATGTTATTGATGACAACAAAGACACTGCAGCAGCAACAACAATAACTACACCACCATTTCTTTGGGGTACAGAAGTATCACTCACCCTGACTTTATTACCTGCATTATCCATTTAACATAAATTTTTATACATACAGTAATAATTTGCAGAAATCATCCATTTTCTGAATAAGGCAATGTGTGACACCCACTCAAAAATAGCATTGGCTAACCATAGTGCTTAAGTTAAGAATCTTTTATGCAATGCTTTTGATCTGAGTCTTTTATTTAGCAAAAGTTCAGTGTTTTTTATTCTGGCATTTTTTAATGCTTTAATAATTAATCATAAACATTCAAAGACACATACTGTGTGCATCTACAGGGCATACGGTGTATTTACATGAATAATAAACCTCCAGCAACTTAGGTCTGCAAATTTCCAGCTAATAAAAATGGAGATCTCTCTTGCACATGCAGCTTTCATGAAATATTCATTACAGCTGCATTGGCGTTCTGAAAGCAGCTGCATCCTTGCGATTTTCATTGCTCACTTATGAATATCCTGACAGGGCCCACTTTAGAAAGGAAAGAACCTCTCTAAGTCAGATGGTGTGAATGCAGATGATGGGACAATTTGCTTAGCTTAGACATTTTAACAATAATGTGTAGCATATATATTATAAACAGCATGTGCTATGCAATATGAAAATATGACATTGTAATCCCCCCCCACTTTTGAAATACATTATTGTTGCATCTTCCATTCACAAGTACAGCCCAACTGATATAGGAACAAGTGACCTTTTCCACAGTTGTGGTATGTTTCAACAAGTGGGGAATATCTACTTAGAATGGAGAATACTCTGCTTAAACATTTACCTCTAAAGTTATGGCTCCTACACACAAATTGATATAATGTTTGTACTAATATTAACTGTACCACAGAGATAGAAAAAATAAAGTTAGAGATGGTAGCGTTTGCCAAAAAAGCTACTATGGAAATAGCAGAGCATGGGTTGCTCTACACTGGGAAAGTTCAGAAGTTGGGGTGAGTTGTAGGCCATGAGAGCAAATGTACAAATTGAAAAATGGGGAGGTGGAGAAGAAATCAAGCATAAGCTGTTAGGATTACTGAACCAGAATAAGGCAACTAAAAAGATATCACTTTTGGATTAATCATGAAGAGATACTGAACGTTTTTAGGTCTTTAGAAGATTCCATGTTTCTTTTAGGCAACTGTAATAATGGTGCTGAATAGAAGGAATCAACTGAATGATATAACCACCTATAACTGGATGGTTTGTGCAACAGGTGGTCATAGGGATGTCAGGGAGACTGATAATAGCCAAAAACCGGAGCCACAATAATTTGGTAGAAAAGCAGATTAGAAAGATGACTAAATGTGGTTCAGAATTTGTGTAGTCATTTCCCAAAGTGCCTTAAATTTTTTCTTGAACCCAAATACAGGTAGTCTTTGGGTTATGACTACTTGTTCAGTGACTGTTCAAAATTACAATGGTGCTGAATGAGGGGGACTTATGATCGGTCCTTGCAGCATCCCCGTGGTAACATAATCACGATTTCCAATGTTCCTTGCTGGCTTCCCACAAGCAAAGTCAATGGGGAATACGACAGAAAGACAGAAGTTGCACCTGCGGCACCCTCCAGCCTGTCTGCCTGGGACTCCTGCCTCTTCCTGCTTAATGACCTGTGTGGTCCTGGGGTTATGACAGCAACCAGGAGTGCTGTTACTAAGTGATGCAGTCACATGATGTTGTGCTTTATGACTGCATCGCTTAATGATGGAAATTCCAGTGCTAACTGCCATTGTAACCCAAGGACTATCTGTATTGCTCCCAAAACGGGGACATCTGCCGGGGGGATAAAAAAAGTAAAAAAGGCAGCTCCAACCATAATATCAAAGTCCCATCCTGTTTTTTCATATATTGCACATAGAATGCATGTAATGCATGGTGCTTCAATTGTGAGGTTGTGGCCACCATGTTGACTTTTTTAACCCTTCCAGCCTGCAGATATTCCTGCCTCAAAACTAGCAACATGATACGGTTTTTCAGCATACACTAAAATGATTAGTAATGGAGCTGGCAGATACTTCATACTTCCTACGGAACCAAATTTTGAAGTTAGTGTGTGCATCTTCAGAAGGTAGTCTCTAGGCTACTGAGGCAACAAGGAGATTAAGAAAAGGTGCAGAAGATTCTGGCCTTGAAAATAGGTAGGTGGGTAGGATCATGAGGAACATTCTTAGAACCAAGAATATTTGAGATCACTCTTGAGCTAAAAGCTGCAACACGCTGTGAGCTAAGATAAGAAACCAAAAACTTAAAAGAATGACATCTGTTATCTCAGTACTTTGTTATGTGCCATCAAGTCAAGTTTGATTCCTATTTACTACATGGACAAAGACTCACCATTTTGACCAGTCTCTAGCAACAACATGCAGCTCTTCCAAGGACATATCAGTAATTTCTTTGATCCCATCCATCTCCTCATGACAGGTGAATATTCTTTCACAGTAACAAAAACAGTGCCTTCCTAACAACGGGATTTCATCATCTGGCATTCAAATCTTACAGCAATGTCTGTACATGTTTCCTTGGGAACAATAATGAAGTGGTTTGCCATTGTTCTCTACTGAGTTTGGTTTTGGAGTTCCTTCTGCTAGGTAAGTTGCCTTCTCTTATGTCTACAGAGCACCATCAGGACTTGTCCCCACTGTGGATTTTGATAAAGCTTTGATCTAATGGATCTTCATTTACTGGACTTTGAAGGCAAGGAACAAAATTCAAGTCTGGAAACCCCTCTGAAATTGACAGTCTATTAAATCAGGGTAGTAGTAATGTTTCTGATGAGCTCATTGGCCAGCAGGAAGATCAGTGGCAGGAAGATCAAGCAGGTGAAGAGTGACATTGGAGGCAGCAGCAATGGGAAGATCAGAAAGTCAAGAAGGAAAGGGACAGGTTGCACTTCTTGTGGTCACTGAGGTTCTTTTACAAGACCGAGTATCAACGAAGAAGGTGGATTGGTACTGACAGCTGTGAGCCGCAAGAATGGTTACAAGAAATATAATTCCTACACCACTAGGGGATAGTACTAGGACAGGATGGTAGCTATATCAGCATGCCAGCTTAAAAGAACCAAGAAGCCCAGTGGGTACTTTTGCATGTGTGCAAAAGTACTTTTCAGTACTTCAAATAAGTATCAGTTTGCAGTAAAAAAAAACCCATGTGGTTTCTCTTGGAGATATGAAAGCTAAGCACTTTCTATCAGAACTGGACTGGCCAATTTACAGATATTCTGGCAATCAATTATAGCATTGTTTTCAGGTATAGCAAATTCTTGCACCAAGGTAGGTAAAATCAGTGAAAAATATAAGGTATAGTCACAAGTGAATAGACAGATGGCAAACCTGAGTTCTTTTGTAATGAATGGGAGTTTAGAAGACACTTTACTATTTACACCAGTCTTTTAATCCACTTTACAGAAAATGTCGATGTAGTTATCCAAAATAAATAATAAAGGGAAACATTTTCAGGCCTTGGGGATTGCCTAAAGTGGTTATTTGGAATCTGGCATGCATATTTATATGCTCATCAACTTGCTGAAGTAAGAAAAGAATGTCATCATAGTAGGAAGGAAAATATTGCTTCGCAGATATAATAAACTGTAATAACCTAGAAGACTGAAAAAAGATAACCTAGAAAACTGAGAAAGGAAATTGCTGCCACTTCTACTCAGGCTATTCACAACCAAAATATCAATAGTGAGTTCTTCTCATTCTTATTCAGTTCCTTAGCAAGTGTCATGTATTAGCCCTCATAACGGAGACAACAGAATATCATTAGTCTGCAAAAATGTCAATGATGATAGAAAATGGATGAAAATTGATATTCCTTATCAAATGCTGATTTATCCTACTTCTCAATGCACTGCCCACATTTAATGTAGCTGAAAGGCTTTGGAGATTCCTATATATATATATCTTTGCAAGGATGTTTATATGTGTATATATGCCTGTGCATACTGTATGTACACATATAGAATGTCAGCTGAAAAAAGTACCAGTGTAATGATGTGCATTCTCTGGGAAACACTGGTGAGCATTATGTGAAGATTTTTTAAATGTGTGAATTAGTCTTACATTTCCCAATAAAAGGAAATGCCACTTTTTCATAGTCATATAACATTCAAACTGAATAATTAAGATCAAGAGGCCAGTACCAAGTGCTATATATCGAAAACAAACATGCCTTTTGTGCTCTGAAATAACCCTTTTTGCTGACATTTATTATTTCATATAATTTTTATTACCATAGCCACCAGTATTTTGTCGTCCGTCCGTCCATTCATTCATTCATATTTATATCTTGTCTTTCCTTCAGGAGCCAAGGGGAATATTTTCATTTTCCCTCACAACAGCAACTGTGTAAAGTAGGTTGGGCTCAGAGTGAATAACTAGCCTAACTTTATGTAGTGAACTTCCATAGAATATACCTGAAACTGGGTTTCCCCAGTGCCAATCCAGCACCTATCTATTATACCACATGGGTCATTATTGCTTTGAGGTTAACAACAACAACAGCACAACAATATACCAGGAATGGATGAGGTCTTGGAACTGGAGAAAAACTGTTTTTTTAGAATTCTTATGATCTGCATGATCAGCTCGTGGACCAAAATTGACAGCTTATCAAGAAGACAGTTTTCAGGGTGAACACTACTTGAACTGTGTATAATGCGTGCCAATGCACCTCAGCAGTAGAGATGGAAAAACAAAAGCTCTTAAATAGTCTTATCAGAAAAACAATTGGAAGATAAATCTTAATCGTCACAAGTTATCACCTGGATGCCTTTACAGTTCCTGTGTAAAGGCATCCAGGTGATAACTTGTGACGATTAAGATTTATCTTTCAATTGTTTTTCTGATAAGACTATTTAAGAGCTCTTGTTTTTCCATCTCTACTGCTGAGGTACATTGACACACATCATCATCATCATCATCATCATCATCAT